GGCTCCCGTAGTGTCGGCGCCCGTCCTGCAGCCCAGGGACAGTCCAGGGCCCCCAGCAGAAAGGTCAGGGGGGGTCGGAGCTTTCCCAGCAGGCTGCCGAGCCCTTGCCACTGCTGGCCCCGGGGCACGAGGAGCTGGTCCCCGGCGGGTGACACCGTCCCCACCCGCCCTGGCCCAGCCCGCGGGGATCTGCTCTCTGTCCTGCGTGACACTTGCTCCCCAGCCCGGGTGTTGATGTGTGAAACCATTAACCTCTCACTGCTTCTTCCCTTCGGCTGGTCCCTCGCAACAGCTGCCTCCCCCTGGAGCCACGCAGCCCAGCTCTGATTTATGAGCCACCTGCAGCCCACGGGGTTTCTGGATCCCTGGTTTGGCAGAGATGGCTAACGTGGGCAGAGCGACGCCTTCCCGGCTCGCTCTCTGGACCTGCCTGGTGCTTCCCTGCATCTAAAGGCTTCTGCAGAGCCCGGGCACCCCGTTAACCCCGTTTTCTCTGCGGTCCAGTTGCAGGAGCTGGTGTGCCACGTGATGATGGGGAACCTTGTCATGTTTCGGAAAGACTCGGTGCTGAACATCCTGAGTGAGTAACACTCCTGTGAGCACGAGCATCTCGGCAAGAGCGGGGGGTTCCTGGGCACCCCCAAACCTTCCTGCGCTTTGGGTCCCCGTTTTTTCAGAGACACCCCAAATCTCTGGCAAGGCAGAAGGCCGCAGCCTTCACCAGGGCTTTGCCCTTTCTGCTCGGGAGGGCTGTAGTCGAGCTGCACGTGGTCGGCAACATCACGCATGGCCACGCCGCCGTGGGAAGAGCCCTGCAGAGCTCACGCAGCGTCCCCAGAGGCTCTCGGGGTGGATTTTCTCGTGGAATTATTGCTGCTGCGTAAAGGATCGCTGCCCTAAAACAGATTGTTCGATTTAGCAGCGTGACCCAAGCTCGAATGGTTTTTACCAGGCTGGTTGGATGATGCCCCAGCCCAGGGCAGTGCCAGGCAAGGTGTAACCAGGGCTCTGCACACCTGCACAGGGGAAAAAAAACCAAAACAACAGCTGGGAAGTGATGGCAAAAGGGTGGTCAGAATGGCTGGAATGGGGATTTCCCTTCGTTTTCTGTTGAGTGTGACACCCCAAGAGGAGAAGGGCCCTCGCTGGTGTTTAGTTTGGCCCTTGGACCATCCTGAACTATCACAGCAAAGCTCCCGGGCGCAGGCTCAGCCCTCTGCCGCGTCCCCTTGGCCACTGTGGAGGAAAAGCCAACGGCCTCCTGGCTTGTATCAGCCACAGTGTGGCCATCAGGAGCAGGGAGGTGACAGTCCCCCTGTGCTCTGCACTGGGGAGGCCACACCTGGAGGGTTGTGTCCAGGTTTGGGCACCTCAATATAGAGAGATCTCGAGGGGCTGGAGCGAGGGCAGAGGAGGGCGACGAGGCTGGGGAAGGGCCTGGAGAATAAATCCTGTGAGGAGCCGGGGAAGGAGCTGGGGGTGTTCAGTGTGAGGAGGAGGAGGCTGAGGGGAGCCCTCATCCCTCTCTGCAGCTCCTGACAGGACATTGCAGAGAGGCCGGGGCTGGGCTCTGCTCCCAGGGGATCAGGGACAGGACAAGAGGGAACGGCTGGAAACTGCCCCAGGGGAGGGTCAGGCTGGGCAGGAGGAGAAAATGTTTCACCAAAGAGTGGTCGGAGAGCGGAGGGGGGGAGTCCCCATCCCTGGGGGGGGTTCAGGGCCGTTGGGATGAGCTGTGGGGGGATGTGGGGTAGGGGAGAGCTTTGTAGAGTCTGGCTAAGGGTTGGACTCGCTGATCCCGAGGGGCTTTTCCAACTGGAATGATCCTGGGATTCCTTCTGTGAAAAGCCTGGTGCCCGGGATCTCTCCCTCGTGTTATTCCTCACCTTTCCCCCCAGGATCACCAGTGGGTGACCCCGTTCCCCTTGTTGCTTTTTAACTGGACCTCGGCTCGCCCCCACGCAGGCCGCTGCCCGTCACACGGTGGCAAAGCCCTTTGCAGTTTCCCTGTGGCTCCCACCCAGCCTCTGAGCTGGCCACAGCCCCCTGGGCCGGGGGGGGCTTTGGGCAGAGCTCAGTGCACGGGGGCCAGCGAGTATTTTGGGAGAGAAGCCCCCTCACCCCGATCCGATGCTGCCTGGATCCCACTGGGGTGTTACACAAGCTGCACGCAGCAGTGGGCTAAACCCATTAATTAAAAAGCCTCATTAATTCTCTTCCTCTGAGCCCCCAGCAGCTGCCTTAGCGACTCTGCAGCTCTGCCTCAGCCGGCAGAGCCGACCCCGGGGGCCAGCTGCCGGGGGTTTCGGACCCCGGGACCTTCTCCCCTGCCCGGGGTGGGTGGAACACGGGGCGGGAGCCGCGCTGTCCCCGAGCAGGGGTGTCCGTGGTGGCTTTGGCCCGTCCCTCTCGCCATCCTGCACTTTCCCCCCCCTAGTTCAAAGCCTGGACTGGGAGACCTTTGAGCAGTACTGCACCTGGCAGCTCTTCCTCGCGCACAGCATTCCGCTGGAGACCATCATCCCCATCCTGCAGCACCTCAAATACAAAGGTGAGCTGTGCCCTAGGGCTGAGGGGGGGGGGAGAGGTGGGCGCAGGGTCCTGGAGCTTGTGCTCAGGGTGTCCTTTTCCTCCGCAGAGCACCCCGAGGCGTTATCCTGCCTGCTGCTGCAGCTGAGGAGAGAGAAGTAAGTGCCGCCGAGCGCGACGCTGCGCAGGGGCTCCCGCGGGGCTGCCCCCCGGCTTTCCCGAGCACCCTGGGGTGTCGGGGACAAGGGGACACCACCCGGGACAGAGCAGGGTGGCTGCGTGTGACAAGACCCCGGCCGTAGCGCCCTTCGTTGGCCCACGTGCCGACGGGCTGTTTGTCTTGTCCCCCTGCACGTCCTGGAGCGCGGGGAGCGGCACCAGAGCTGCCTCGGCGTCCGTCTGGGCTGTGTCTGCCCGCATCCTGCTGCTCCGAGGGGAGCAGAGCTCTGAGGAACTTTTATTTGTTTTCATTAAGGCCGTGCACAAGACTGGCTGATCTAATCCCAGCTCTAAATCGCGTTAGCGAAAAGCCCGCGGGGATGGGGAGCGCAGGGGCGAGCTCGGGCTGCCAGCGGGCAGCAGCGCTTCTCCCCCCGCGGGGAGGATGCTCGGGGGTGGCTGGTGGCCTGGAGGAATTGCATGCCAGCCATCTCGGGGAAGCAGAGGAGGGTGAATGCTGCTTGTCATCCCCTGAGCTCGGGAGCCGGGGCTGCTGCGTGGGTTCTGGGGGGTGTCTTGGGAAGTTTGGTGCCACCTGAGCTGTGCCCGCGCTCCTGTGCCAGGTCCCTCCAGGCACAGCGGCTCCGCAGACTTGAGATATCCAGGTTGGAAACCTCCCATCAGGCTCGAGTGGCTGCAGGGGGGGGTCCTGGCTGAGTCGGGTACAAGTTTAGTTCAGTTTTGGGCCCCTCACCCCAAAAAGGCCATTGAAGGACTCGAGCGTGGCCAGAGAAGGGCAACGGAGCTGGGGCAGGGTCTGGAGCACAGGTCTGC